GCTAAAGATTAAAGACCACCACCTAACTTTTCTTCAACATCTTTTTTCAGCAGTAGGAATGGCGTATAAGCTATGTGCTCGGTCTGGGGAAACAGAACATTCATCTTGTAATTCTGATGGTTATAGACTTTTGATTGCCACATTCTGTCTTTAAAACCTTTTGCCTATGACAGTTGCAAGCTGTGGGTTTTTTTTTGTTGTTGTTGTTGTTTTTTGTCTGTGTGAGGTGACTAACAGCACAACCACTCTCTACACAGGGAATGTAATCATCCAGCACCCAAAACCACCTACTGGTTTCCGGTGCCCTTTATCAGCTAAGCCATCAGCCATGAGCTGACATTTCAACATTTAGAAGCTCCCCACCTCCACCCTCCCCCCCAAAAAATGTGACATGAGGAAAAAAAGGCTCATTTTACAATAGTTTGCTCTTGTTGTTTGGCCTGGAGAAAGACATTCAAAGTGGTAGAAGATTGTTTAGTAACAGCTGGCAATCACTAGGGTGTGAGGCTGATTTTCAGATATGACAGCCACTTACAAGAATGCTGGCAGATACAGCTGTTTAAAAGCCTTAATAAACAGCAAGTCAATACTAATCTTTGCCAAATTAATCTTTTCTCTGACAGCCCATCAGAGCAATTACGTTTGGGCTTATTGTAAACACAAAATTGTCAAACAGGGATGTTCCAGGTTTTTAAAAAATACTGTAGTTTAGTTCAGTCTCTTATTAGAATTTTTTTTTGTTTTCTTTGTTGAATTGCCTATTTTATTTTGTTATCACTTTTTTTTCTAGCTTCATGTCACTTTGAATAAAATTTCACCTTGAAATTTGTTTGCCAGAAAGCTGTTTATAAAATGTGAGATGACTTGTGCTACAGGGATTCTTTCATTAGTTATAGTTTTGCTCAATCTGAAATATAAACCATCACTTTTCTCTGTGTCTGCCATCCTGGAACAAGAACTTCACATCTTCTCAAGAACTTCTGGGGTCTGGGGAGATGGCTCAGTGGAATAAGTGCTTCCCTGGCAAGCACAAGGATCTGAGTTCAATCCCCCATTCCACAAAAAA